ACACAGACATAATAACGACGAAATGAATCATTTATTCATTTTTTTTCTGTTTTCTCTTGAAAGATGATTGTGTTTTATAATGCAGGGGTAATGATGTAGAATCTGTGTAAGTGGTTGTTTTTTTCATCAGAGGATTCTGCATCTGTATTCTGTTTTGGCATCACATTTAAAGAAAATAATATCGTTATACCCTTTTTATGTTTACATATTAAAAGCTTTCACATTTGACACAGACATTAGAACCGACTCAAATCGATACAGATGTTATACTTATGGTATTTTGGTATGTATGGATATATGTTTTCCCTACATGCATTCTGGTTAGTCAGGTGGCTTTGAGCTCTTGTTCAAGTCGGTATTCTAGATAAGGCTAGGCAAACACCTAAATAGTTTACACATGGCCATGTTCTTTTAAACAAAAGGACAGACGTTTATTTCCCTTATCATTGTAAATCGGTTCCTTTGGTAACCATAAAACTTTACATACTTTTGTTCGGTGCCATGTTGACCCCTTATCAAATGTCATGGTAATCGGCAAAGACGTTCGGTTAGGAGGTCTTGTAAGAAGTTTCAAAAGGGGATTGTGTATCCCGGCTGTTATATAGGTTCACTTCTGCGGGGGGGGGGGGGGGAGTTTGACTAAATAAACCTTACATAATGATAATGAACGCTTTTTGTAATTACAAAACAATACAGCAAGTACGGCAATCGTAAACGTCCACCACGGCACTTAGTGCAAAACCCATTGCCAGTTATTAAATTTCATACCGACGTTTCTAAGTGATACCTGAGTAATCACTGGATAGTTTCTGAGAATGATGACATCAACATTTTGGTCATGAATGTGGAAATTTGTTTTAACATGAAATGAAACACCCTTTAAGTTGCAATGCTTGGATTGAACATTTTCATAGGATGCAAAGAGTCATCGTAATCATACATTGTGAAAATCGTTTGGAAGCCTTACCCATGCCGAGTCCATACACATTGTACCAAAAACTGAAACACCACTTGTTTCCTTGCTGTTCTCTACTTGGCGAAACGACAGGGCTGACAAGTAAAACGTTTCTGCCTCTATGACCATAACACCATTCACACACGATGTAGTGGTAACTCGCATCTGTGCAGGGTAGAGATTTTTTTCATAGAGTAAACATAAACAGATGACTTTGGAAGAAATGTTGCATTGATGATTGAAAGACGATCGGCAGACATCCTTTAACATTTAGAAGAGGCATGAGTTGGCTTGTATTCCTTAAAGCGATTTATTTGGTTAAGTCAAGGCAATTAAAAAAAAACATACTCTAATTTCTACAATTGAAACCAGTGAAATATTTAATTTAACACCCATTCGGATTTTTAGCGACGTCTCTTGGGCAAGCTTTCATTTTATGACACAAAAACAATACAGCATTTCTACAAATTTAACTCATGATCATAAGGTCCGAAATTATTGACTATCGTTATGATTTTATCATAAACTATCGGCAGTAAAGGCTTCCGTTGATATCATTTTATTGCTGTGCTCATGTATCACCAAGATCCGTTGAATTGAAAATGGTAGGCCTTCGTGAAACCTTTACGAGTCATTGTGCTATAGGCACAATGGATTCAGGATTCATCACGTCCCTGGTTTTATTATTATCCCGTAAACCGTTTAAAAGATATTACGGTTTGTTTGTTAAGGTTCAAGCGACTTAACGATTGCGACAAAAATGCTAATTAATTAATGGCTTATCTTATTACAGCATGTGAACAATATTGGTCATTTTGTTCAAAAGTTACAAATGAAAGAAGATGGTCCATTTTCAACTCAAATCGCTTGTGATTAGATACCTGGTGACTTCATCATGACGTCAGAGTTATATGCACACGTTTTGATCTTGGGTGATGTTGGTTTATAGTAACAAGTTTATAACATAAACCGTTGAGAAGAAATGTTCAGGAAGATTATTTTCAGAAAAAAAGTGTAAGAAAGAAAGACAAAAAGAAAAAAGGGGGTCAGGGAGATGGAAAAAAATAAGCATATTAATTAGAATGATTCTAAAAGGGTGACTGGTTGTGCCCGATCATCTAATCACTGTCGGTTGGAAACGTGTTATCCCACACGTAGAAGGACTGAAAAACCGACAATATCAAGAAATAACATTATCAAGTTACCACACTTCCATGCTCCAAGGTTTTTCAATGTAGATTAAATTAGATCTGTTAAAATCAATCTTTATTAAGACAACAAAGTTAAAAGATACATCATCAGAGGAATGGAGTCAACTTAAGAACGGAAAGTTTACTAAATAAATATCTTTATTTGATTGTAGCCTTTTTTTGACACCGCGATGATAGATTAATGAAAAATCATGTGATGCAAAAACTTACTGCCAGACGTCCTGTCGAAATCTAGCCTATCGAATTTGTCGTCTTGCCCCTGCTGCAGCCTCCAGTTGGACCAGTGCACGCCGGAGTGTCTCCAACCACAAATCCCTTCCTCGAAGATGCAGTTGAAGCCTGCGGTTGCGTGAAAAATTGAAACACAACGCTTCGTCGTTATCCGACCCGATAAGCTGTTGGAATTGCTCAAATTGATACCTCATGATGTTAATCATTTACAGTGACATTTCCTCTGTGTCGTACAATGCACTGAAGGTCAAGTAAAGAAAATGACTTTTTTCCACACAACACCAAAAAAAAACATATAATGTTACCTTCTCGATTTTTGAAAATGATTCTGCGTAATTTTTCTTCGATCTTGCACAATGCATTACCTACCGGCACGAAGTACATCACTGAAGGACCCGAGATGTGAGTACACGGAAAGTCGCGTTAACGTCACATAATCTTTAGTTGTTTTAAATTATAGGGAACAAATGAGATATCGTATTAATGTTGCTCAGTCGGGTTGGTCTTAGGTTGAGAAACAAACTGGTTAAAATATTTACCTGACCTTTCATAGTACAATTATTTCAAGAGTAACCGAGATTTTTAGTTTAGATAAATGTCAAAAGCATCCAGTGGGATGCCCTGTTCATATTTAGTGATCGCAATTTTGGAACATTTTGTTTGCTGGTAAAATGCAACACACACGAGACGAACATTGAATGCGCACATTGCTTCATCCACTCATTATACTGTAGCGAGATCCTACTGGGCTCTTGTCCGCCAAGTCCAGCAAAACGCAAGAAAAGGGGACACACAGACAGGATTTCTAACTCTGAAGGAAGATCTCATTTATTTCGCCAAGCGGACTCTGCGGGCAACTTGCCGCACCGCTACCAGAACTACAACTGATCAATTCTCAGCATAGACATACACACAGTCTGAACAAATGTATACAATTGTAGCAACTTATCCCAACCCTGGAATCAAGCCAAGTTTTTCCCGCGCAATTGAACACAAGAACCCCACTTAGCCAACCTATTTGTAGAGCCTATTTCCGGAGCGCGCGCTAGCCAGACCCAAAACCAGGTCAGATGCGCGCCGGCGGAGCCCCTCCGCCGGAGCACTAGTGCTAGAAAGCAATGGCAACAAATGTGTGCAGAGACTGTCCGTTACACTAACCTCTCCTTAAATTTGGCCTATTCTCCTGAATAGGGGCATATATACAACACATTTTACATGATTTTTTTTTTGTTTAACCCAACATTGGGTGTCCTCAAAGGATGTGGAGCAACGTTGATCTAGTCCCCAAAATGGTTACTCAGATCAAACATTAATCCAGCAATCCATAATGACTACCTCTTCAACAGATAAAACATTTTAGAAACAACATGAGAAATCAAACACTTTACTCTGTTTATCAATGGGTGTCCTCAATGAAAGTTGATCAGCGTTGATTCTAGTCCCCAGACTGGTGCACAGAATCAAACAATGATACAACAAACCGTTACGACTACAGCAATTTCAACACATTCTTTTACAGGTTTTTGTTCTTGTCCACTTCACTTGAAAACTGTCCTTTATGTCCTCACTATTTCACAAAACAATGTCCATCCAAGAGACAACTTCTCTCCAGTCTCTGTCTGTGTTGCACTTTGCAAGCTTTAGTGTCTTTAGCCAAGTACACATGTCACATCGCTGTACTCTTGCCACCTGGTCGTTGACTCCCCAACCTTGCTTTGGCCCCGTTGTTTTCAGTGGTGTCTGTCCTCGCACTGTTGTCGGCTCCGGCGGCCTCGTCTTCTGTGGTGCACCCTGCACCGGCGGATTCCCAGCCTTTGATGCTCCCTGCATCAATGGGCATCCTGTCTTCTGTAGTACTCCCTGTACCTTCGGCCTCGTCTTCTTTGATGCGTCCTGCATCGCCGGATCCGCAGTCTGTTGGCTGTTACCGTTCTTGTCCCTGTCACCTGCACCTGCGGTCTGAAAGTCAATGTCGTTGCTTGCTCCAGCGGGGCTGCTTTGCCGGGGGATAGTGCTGTAGTGCCTCACGGTTTACCTACACGTGCGTCCGGAGCGTGAACCGAGACGGTGCTTGCCGCGGCCGACTTTACTTCTTACGGGTCCGAATTCCTCGTAAAAAGACAAGCCCACAGGATTACTGGAATAATCCCAGGCTTGAGTCCGATCCGGCAACTTGAATCTCGAACGCAAAGGAGACGGATTGGTACAGAAACACGAGAACACTAGAAGTTCTGGAAGAGTTTTGGTAACAACCATGTGACAATGTTTATCATAATACTGATCTAAGATGGCGGCGCCCACGAAAAACGATAAATTGATCATCGGTCACGTGACCGCCTAATTCTGATACATTGATTAGTACGGGTGACGTATCAACTGGCACTACACTCCTCCCACTTTTCTTCTTTGGATGATGGTGTGGGGGGCTCTTAACATAAGTTAGTGAAAAATACAAGTATTACAAATACTCAACATGGAAAACCACTAAATATAAAACCCAACACTAAATAAGTGCCATTCCTTCTTACTGAAAGAAAGCATTGGTGGAGGTTCATATTTCTCCATGTACAGCGGCAAAAGCTGAGAGAGTTCTGTGTCCTGTTTCAGTGGAAGAATGCTCTCGCGTTTGTTTCGGTTAGTTCAAGAACTTCTTCCGGTGAGATGTCTCCCAGAATGGTGGCCACCGACTCAGCTGTGTAGTCAAGTAGAGACGGGGCATTCAGTTTCTTACCAACTGGGGGTAAGTAAGGTGCATCGGTGTCCAGAAGCAGCTTGTTCCTTGGAACTGACTTCAGGGCAGCCCTCTGTCGACTGTTGAAGCTGTTCGCCATGTTACTTATGCTGAAGTGGGTACTGGGGAAGGATTCCAGCCACTGCTGGACTACCTCTGTGGTGCTGGAGAAACAGTGCAGCTGACTTCCCTTGATGATTGTTGTTATGACGTCCACGCATCGCATTTAGGCCTCTACTCCAGTGACATCGTCTCGCATACCGCGGATGTGGAGAGTAGGACTCTTGACGGAAGAAGGCCAGTCAGGAGATCTCGGAGTTGCCTCTCCTGTAGGTGCCAAAGGTCAGAAGTCACCGAATGGTCCAAACCAACCTCGCCTAGTCCGCTGACTGAAGGATGCTGGCTCAATGACTTCACCCTTTGTCTCTCCTTGCGTGTCAAGATTATCTTTGGATGAGCGCCGATCATCACTGTGAATCCTTGCTGGGTCAGAGCTGTTATTTCTTTCTCCGAAGGCAATGTCTTTTGATCACAGAAGACCGCTACGGCTCCCGACAGCAGAGTCGTATAGCCCTTGTCTGGCTGTTGGGGAAATGCCTGTTCGATAGCCGCCAGATTAGTCAACGGAATCCTGGGACCTCTGGCAGACAATCTGTCAAGATGGAAGTGGCTATCGAAGCTGCGGATGAGGGTCTTCTCCGCCTTCTTGTATGGGGCACTTCCTGTGGATCCCGAATGCGGGATCTGTTTCTCGTCCTGCTGCAGGACTTCCTGTCTGGGGCTGGGGGAATTTGCTCTAATGATGCTTGGATGCTGGTGGATGTCTCCGAAGAACGGCGGAGTCCGGTAGATGGATACCGTCGCCTAAGCTCCCCCATCCCTTGAGGCGATATTTCTCCTGCCTATACCAGTAAGCACCTCCAGTGAGACAATGCTGCCACACTGTTGACGGGGTGCAGGGAAAATTCCTCCGGCACTGGCCACCCTGCCACTCGGCACATTCCTACCATGGCACTCCTTTGTTCAGGTGTGATGTGCCACCCCGGCTTGATGACATCTCTGTCGTTGACGAGGTCAACCATGTCCTGCAGGGTTCTACTCTCTCCAAGTGCCTCATGCACCATCTCCTTCAGGAATTCCACTCGAGTGCGAGCGAGCCCATCGTTCTCGGCTTGGTAATAGTCGAAAACAGCAGGTGCGTGGTCTTCTTCCAAGTGTTTCTTCATGTAGAAGGTTGTGGCTGAGCACCATGAGAACTGGCATGTCATGTGCCTTCTCTTCCCACAGCGTGGCCTTGGTTGATTGCTTGTTGCCTGGCAGTCTGTACTGCTTGACGATTTTGGATAGGCCCGTTTTCTGGACCGTTCTCCCTGCTGTTCCCTGTGGTAGGAGGGCCTTCCTCGGTCCGGTACTCTGTGTTTTTCCAGTGGTGCTGCAACAGTCCCTGTCTGCGCTTCACCTGGCTTGGGCCTTATTTCCACACATGGCTCCCTGGGGCTCGGTGAGGTGTCTCGCGTGTGCTGAGAACCTGTCGATGTGGACATTACGAGGTTCCTTTCTTGGGACCACTGACGTTTCGGACGCTCGTCCTCACTCTCTGATGGAGAAGAAACACAAACCTCCATGGTATCCCTAGTGAGTTGCACACGACGGCTAGGGTTACCGACTGTGTTGGTCCAACGAGGTATCTTGATACTGTATGCGGTATCTACTGTGCTGGTACCGGATGCGGTACATGGCACACTTACGGTAAGCTGACTTCTCACAGGAGGCCCAGATACGGTGCCCACTGTGAGAGTCCCTACTGAGGTGTCGAGGGATTTACTGACTTCCGCATGGGTGAGGTCCATCCGTTTCCTCGCCGTCTGTGTTACCTGTCGGACAAAGTAGATGTTGGCGTCCACCCAGTTAGTGTCAAGGAGACTTTCCCGAACAAACACTTCAGCTTCCTTGGCTGCTGCTCTGAGCCACTTGGTATCTTCTCTCCTCCGGGCAATGCCAACTTGCATCCTCATGCAGCTCTTCAGTTCGTCCCCTGCTACTCCCGCCGCATAGAGTTTCCTCATTAGCTGTCTTGCATCAAGGAGGTTCCGTGATTTTGTGGCAATCTCGATGTCTAGACAAGTATGCTTGTCCAGCGTCGCCCGGCTAGTCTGCAGGCCGGCCATGTCCTAAAAATCAGAAAGACCAAAGACATTATTTACAGTTTGGGGACACCTTTGCATTCTAAAAACTTATATTTGTCGATGTTTAGAGCATCCGATGGAGATATGTTGATGCACGATCCATGATACCAGGTGTCGCAATAATCACACTGTATCATGAATCGCCCATCCCAGGGTTGCTTGCATACAGAGTAGGTGTCGGTTTGTGTGTTGTTGGGAGTTGCTGAGTTAGTGTCAGGTTTGGAAAAGGGATGGCACTATCCCATTCAGTGACACTTCTTCTCTGGTGACTTGTATGGCTTAGTATGGGTTGTAAGCATGACTGAGTCTTTGCCGGTTATGTCCGAGTGAAATGTAGAGTGGGCGGACATAAGAGATTAAGTGACTATGATAGGTTGGGTAATCAAATGTGATTAAGGGTGCGAGCAGAGGATTTTGTTCGCAAATCCTCTTGTTAGCAATAGCATGCTTTCGTGCCTTGCTGTTGGGCACTCTTCAGTTGCAAATAGGTGATTCAAAAAAGAATCGAGGCTGACTCGCGGAAAAGTTGTGGTTGGGATTGGTTGTATTCCAATCATGTATCGTAAGTTTGAAGTGTTGTGGTTACAACCATGTGACTTTAGTTGGTTTCAACTTGTTCCTCTAGTGAGGAGAGCAATCGGGTTCGGTTAGTTTTTTGGAAGAGCCGGAGTAGGTCGGGAGTGGGTTTAACTCTTGATTTTGTTTGGGTAGTTACTCCCGGATATGATTTAAGGCTTTTCTGAAGGCAACGAATTATGATTCGGGAAATGTTTCCGCACAGTAGTTTGTTGCCTTGGATTATGTTCCAGTGATGGTTGTTTATTGCTCGATTTAAGTGACGGTGTGTTATGGTTGGGTTGTATGTCGTGGTGAAGACAGGTGGAGTTTGTTTTAATTTTTCTTCATCCTAAGATTGTATGTGTTAAACCTGTGGGCAAGTTTAAAATTAGTGGCTTCCGGGTATTTTCTAGCGTTTCACTAGAATATGATTTCGGATGCCAATTGGTGGTTGAAAGGATGGTTTATAGAGCGTATGTTACGCATTATTAATGTAAATTGTAGTCTTCACTCCAAATAATTATTGATGCTGCTTACGAGTGATTGCGGTTTGGTTTAGCAGAAGTAGGTAAGATGTTGAGGCCTTGTCCAACAAGCAAATATTTCGGTTTGCGATGGTTTTGCTTTGGATAGAATGGTTATGAAGGATTGATATTTTGTTCTGCTAATGAGCGCAAATGATTGGAGTTGGCTCGTTTGGTTTACGATTGCATTTGTGAGAGAAGTCGGGTTAGACTTCAGTTGATGTATTGATCTCTTGGTTTCTTGGTTGAGTTTCCTTCTTGCCATGGTAGTTGAGGGGTTTGTGGTTTGAATATAACGAATAAGGTAAGATGGGGTGGGTTATATTCCAATTTATTTATTATAACAATGGCAGAATGGTGGATATTTCTCTTTTGAGAAGGTTGTGTTAGTAAGAGACCGAGAAGTGATGGTTCGTTGGTTTTCTCTCAGGGTTTGTATGCACGTATTGCGTGCGTGAGATGGCGCATTGAGCCGTGGCGGTAGTGAATGGTACCATATGTGTGTTGTGATTGGTCACTGTATTGTCCAATGGGCGTGTGGGTGCAGTGGCGCGGAAAACCTTGCGAGAGTTTTGGATTCGTAGTGGAATTTCTGGCCAGTAGTGTGTTTGTTTTTAGTTTTAAAAGCCGTATTTTGATTATTTTCTTTGTCAGAAAATAGTTGAAACTTGTGTAGGCTTTTAGATATTGTTAATCTCTTTCATTTGGTAGTTGTTTGAGTAAGAAACTATCTTCCTACCGTGTGCGGTATCGGAAAAACACGTTGTGTTTCGTTGTTTTGTTTCTTTATTTTGTTAATACGAATGCATATTTATGTGGAGATGGTACTTTTTCTTTCCCAAATGTGGGTTGTTTATTTTGTTTGTACCATTCAATGTTGAGATTGATTTATGATTTTTTTTGGGGAGGCCAATACTGTTTTGAACCCTTTGTTTTGGGGTTAGGTTTGTGGGTTTTTGTCTTGTTTTGTGTTGTTTGGTGTAAAATGGGTATAGTTTATCCGTCTGTGGATAATTTGTATGTCCATTTATCAAGTGCTTATGCTTCTGCTAGCATAGCGTTTTTATGTTGTTATAACAAGTCAAGATCATGTTTTCCGTATGCGGAAATATGGTTGTTGGTTTTCCGAAATGAAGTGTACATGTGGTGGAACGTGAGATATTGTGTCTCGTGTGTGGCAGACTGATTGTTACAAGTCTGTGGATGTACTTGAAGTACTGAGAAACAGAGATAGAAGCAACCTGAAGATACCTCGCTTGTTAATCAAGACGGTATTCTCGGGCAGTTTTTGATGGCCATCGACCCACAATACCCCGGGGTGGGGCAAGGAGTATAACATAGAAGTTTGGAAAAGGGATGGCACTATCCCATTCAGTGACACTTCTTCTCTGGTGACTTGTATGGCTTAGTATGGGTTGTAAGCATGACTGAGTCTTTGCCGGTTATGTCCGAGTGAAATGTAGAGTGGGCGGACATAAGAGATTAAGTGACTATGATAGGTTGGGTAATCAAATGTGATTAAGGGTGCGAGCAGAGGATTTTGTTCGCAAATCCTCTTGTTAGCAATAGCATGCTTTCGTGCCTTGCTGTTGGGCACTCTTCAGTTGCAAATAGGTGATTCAAAAAAGAATCGAGGCTGACTCGCGGAAAAGTTGTGGTTGGGATTGGTTGTATTCCAATCATGTATCGTAAGTTTGAAGTGTTGTGGTTACAACCATGTGACTTTAGTTGGTTTCAACTTGTTCCTCCTTTGGTTTACGATTGCATTTGTGAGAGAAGTCGGGTTAGACTTCAGTTGATGTATTGATCTCTTGGTTTCTTGGTTGAGTTTCCTTCTTGCCATGGTAGTTGAGGGGTTTGTGGTTTGAATATAACGAATAAGGTAAGATGGGTTAGTGTCAGGGGCTTTGTAGTTTATGATCCATGCTGGAAGTTGCCTGTCGCGGCAGAGCTTCATC